GAAGAAGCGGTCGCTACGCTCGACGAGGTCATGATGGCGGGCTACACCCACCAAGCGGACGTGCTGGGCCTGCAAGAGGGGGCAGACGAAGCGCCGACAAGACCGGGGACACCGCAAGCCAGGCTGGAAACAATCATGGGGGACATCCGCGACAGTCTCGGGTTCCTCACCCAAGGCCAGGCCCAGGTGCAGTGGCTGTTGGCTTTGGTCACAAGTTGGCAACAAGCGCAAGGGGGACCTCCGCTGCTGGTGGACACTCAGACCACAGAAGAGGGGGACCACAAGCCGCCCTCACTGTTCGACGGGGGCTACGAACTGGGGGCAGCAGGGCTCCAGCCGAGATGGAGACCGAGGCCTGGCATGGAACAGTGGTCGGGCAGCCTGCCCAGTTCAGGGGACAACGACGACAGAGAACCGCAAGAACCGGCGAGCTGGGGGCCCACAGACGACGACCTGCTCCAGGTGATGGAAGAGTTGGAGAGAGAAGAACAGGAGGCAATGGCAGCTGCCGCAGAAGAACAAGCCAGTCCGAGAGGGAGCAGTACTGAGAGGGGGACAAACGCTGAGCACAGACGTAGGAGAATGCATGCAGCCTTCGAGGGGGACCTGTAGAAGGAGTGCCTAGATGGTAAGTACTGTAGAGGGTCGCTGTACTGCTTGCCGGGGGCTCAGATCGTTGTTTGCACTTAGCAGGTCCACCCAGTGCAGGTAGAGTGCAGGTAGGCAACGGGGGACAACCAGCTCTGATAGGGGGGCAACAGTTGTGCAGTCCTGTCAGCTTTGTGTGTTTCTGCTTGCACCAGTGTAGCTGTGGCCGCAGAGTTGTCCACGCCGGAGCCTCAGAGTTTCACGCCGGAACTTGCAGGGGGGACAGCCAAGTGCTCTCAGAGGTTGCGGTCTGCTGTTGTTTGGGGGTCCAGAGCAAGTTTCGACAGCCGTACGGTAGCCAAGCACAAAAAAGTTGCTGGCTGGCGGCCAGAACAGGCAACAGCCTTGGAGACGAGGCCAGGGGGACATAGTGTTCTAAGTAATATGGTTTTCGCAGTTTCGAACCCACGGCCTCATCTCATAGAGGGGAACCTATCAGACCTACTGAGACCAGTGCGCGCTCGCGCGCAGGGGGAGCGGGGGTCGTCCTGCTTCCCTTCGGCTGTGTAGAAGAAGAGAGAGAGAGAGAGAGAGAGAGAGAGAGGGAGAGGGAGCTTACAAGCAAATACAATACACAATCTTGAAATCATCAATCTTGAACTGGTATTTAGTCATTTTTGCTCTGCCAGAGAAGCAGCATCATGCCGAATTTCGCCTTCCAGAGATGGGTTTTGGAAGAGACCGGTCAGGTCGTCTGTGTCACCCATGGCCTTTTCATGGATCGGCTACTGAAGGCACGCTGAACTAGCCACTGCTTTGGCCCAGCCGGTGCACCTCCAATTCTGCCCCTGACTGTGCTGCAGGCTTTGGCAGGGCTAGACCCTCATTTGGGCCGGCATCTGAGCTACCCCGACATAAGCTCCTGCACCGTTCGTCCCGCTTTGGGCTTCAGTCTTTCGAATTGAAGATGTTTTGGACCTTGCTGTTTCGTGGCACATGTCGGCGGCCGCCGATGCTGCAACAGCACCTGCGCTTCATTCCGCCGGTAAAACTGCAAGTATGTTTGCACTACTTCAAACGAAACATCATGTAACAGCATGTCTGAGCATGCTTTGAATATGGAAGCCTTCAGTCTCGGCTGAGGCAGTGTCCTTTTCATGTCCTTCAACTGTGCATACTGGCTGGTCCCTGCCTGAGCACGTGTCTTGCTGCCTGCCGCAGTCCCGTTGTTGCAGAATTTGGGCCTTCCGGTGCTGGTGGCTGGGGGCTTGTCGGTATCATGGGAATAGCCAGCATTAAAGGCTGAAGCTTCAGTACTCACGCGATGCACGCTTGGACAAATCGTGGGAGTGAAAGTCTCAGCGACGCACCAATCTTGTCAGATCTTGTCCGAGTTGCGAAAAATAAAGTCGGGCAAGAGGCATCCCATGTCTGTTGCATGACGGCTGAGCTGCCGGATCCTGGCTTGGTACCCTGGTTAGCCTCTGAGACCGTCTGAGACCAGACCAGGTGCAGCTGCGCCTCAACCACGACGAACATACTCCAAGGACACAGCTGATTGGGGACAGATGTGTGGACGGGACCGTAGGATGCACCCTTCATTCATTCATGCTGGTTGTGGCTCACCGCAGGCTGGCTTTTGTTTAAATTCTGTGCCGCTGACCCTCATCAGAAAACAGCTTAGGGGGGCCAGGGCAGGCGAGCGCTGAGCCTCTGGCAAATGCCAAAATTTGTGGCGGAGGATAGCTGTCATGGCAGCCTGCAATGTAGTCGACCATGCCTGGCCCTCACTGCCAGGGATGCGCCGTTTCTTTTCAGCATGTTCGAGAATACAGGATACAGGCCTTGAAGCGCCAGCTCACGAGTGGTATCTCTTCAGGTGCCTATGTCAATCAGGACCGGGTGGCTGCCTCAGTTCCAGACTCCAGCCTGTATTCCAGACATCCGGGGCTGGTCCGGCTTCCGAAACTAGGGAGTGGCGGATTTGAGGAGTCTAGTCTTCGTACGTCAGCTCCCGCTTAATTAGCTGAAAATATGTGCGGCGCTGCTGCTTGTTCCCGGAGCTCGGACACGGATTGGCCGAACAGTCCCGGCACCTCTTGCGGAAGAGCTACACGATTTCGCTCACGCGAGTGGCGAGGTAGCTTCCAACACAGTC